AAGACAGCGGGCGCATTGCACAAGTCAAAAGGCATGACCAGATATTCATAATGACCGGTGCTGGTGTTAAACGCGGTCTTCCACTCGTCACCCTCCTTGATCCTTACGAGGTTATATGCTGCCCTTAGGTCAAGCTTGGTAAAGATCGTTGCTCCCTTGAGGAGGTCGAACAATTCGGTAATCAATTGAATCGGGTATGCATTTTTGACTGTGATGCGATTGACACCCCTATAGTCAATGCAAGGTCTCAACTCGCCCCCCTTTTTCTTTACAAAGAAAAAGCCAGCACCCCCTGGAGAAGTGGACTTGTGAATGTGTCCCCGGGAAAGCGCGTTTGCAACGTACTCCTCCATCGCCTTATTCTCCGCAACAGAAAGAGGATAAACCCTGCCATGAGGGGGAATGGCATCGGGTTGCAAATCTATAGCACAATCGTAGGGACGATGAGGAGGAAGAGCATCAGCGCGCATCTTGTCAAATACATCCTGATACTCATGATATTCAGAAGGCAACACAGAATCCGAGGAGGTACAAAGTACCTTAACAGGCCCATTTATGCAAACAGCACCACACTGAGGAGACCAAGAGAGGATCTCGGCTGACTGCCAATCAAAGGTCGGATTGTGCTGCTGCAGCCAAGGGAACCCCAAAACCACAGACCTGGCACCTCATACCGCACCTGAATCTCTCCTCTTGGAAGGGTAGGAAGCATTGCCATTTACCTTCCTTAAACTCCCTCTCCACCCCGCTGGACATTTATGGAAGACTTCCACTTGCAAGACCCTGTCCATACACTCCAGAGCGTCGGATACATATAAAGCTGAAAGGCCAAACAATGGGAAACAGCAATTAAGGACAACTCATCCCACTCATGGTGTATAGATCATTGGGATAATGCCCAAAAGATAATATCTAGATGGTATCTCACCCCATATAGACTATCTAAAATATAGCCGACCACATCCCCCCTGTGCTGGCTTAAGTGCGGCCACATACTGTAGGTAACTTATCTCATATATTTTCGTTCTGTAACAGACTTTTAGTCCCCAAAAGGGACTTTTGGCACTCCATTTCCGACCAATTGAACGAATTTACAGGAATAGACTCCCTGCTATCACCTGAAATGGCGCTATTAAGTGTTTCTATTGACAAATACCCTCCCAAGTATAGATCAGTGATTATGCATATATTATTCTCAGCTAGGATTCTCATTTTCAGACATTGTCCATAGAGTATCCTCTAATTGCCATTATGAACCATTAATAGCATATAGGTTGAACTCAGAGAACCTATTCCATAAAAGATGGGACTCATGGATTCATTTTTCAAAACAAGATATTTAAAGTGAAATTGTAGTTTGACTTTACTATGTTATACGATGTGCCATTATCAAACTGATTGCGCATCCATAGTTCCTACCTACTGTCCTTCCTATCCCCTACCCTCCCTAACATGTCTTGCCCCTTCCTCCCGTCCTCCCCTACCCCTCCTTTCCTACCCCATCCCTATTATCCCCCTTATAGATTCCCTCTGCAATACTAATTTCCTTCTCAGAGTTTTTCTAATGTTGTAAATGTTGATCAACATGTATACTTCCAATATGGGGTAAGCATGGGGGTGGTTCGATTACCACTAAATTCTGTAGAGACCATTTTAGCCTTTGCGACCCCAAGTCGGAAGAATTATCTGGTTTAGTAGATGATGATGTATTAGTCTCAAAGTTACTACCATGCCAAATATGTATCTATATTCGAATGTAATCAACATTGTTTGTGTTGCAGATGCTATATACCTTAATAAAAATCTAAAGTTTAAAAAAAAAAAAACAGCATACAAAGGATAGCTGACGCGTTTCGGTTCAGCATGCTATAACTAAGGCTCATCGGAAGGGCTGAAACGTGTCACAGATCATATGCTTGCTGTTTTTATGCCACATTGAAATAAGTCTGTTTGGGTCCAGCAGAGACCTTCGCTGAGCACCGCGGTTCCAGCAGTGGATTCAGATAGAGGAGGTAGAGCAGCTTTCTTTGTATGCCAGCAAATACACACTTGTCTGATGCGGTACCAAAATGGTGAGTTATGTGTTGATTAGCAATGGTCATCTGTAATTTCCCTACACACTTCCCACACCCTGGGTGACCTCTGTTCATCATCAGGATCCAACGCGAATCCCACTTTTAAAGCCAACAGGGCTTATGGGCCAAGAATCTCCACCCCCTGTAATGTCACTGACATTATAAGAAAGTATTACACGATCCTATAACATAAATAAAAGTAAGACCTTGGTCCTGCCTGATCATTATCCCTTTGGAAATTGAACAAGCAAGATGAAATATTGAATGGTATTGGAATGGCGTCCGTCTGTGTGGCTCTCTTGCAAAATGTTGCTTGTTCAGCAAATGTGCCTAACAGCTGCATCATTCAGACTTTACCATATACTGATCCAAATCAACTGCAAAATGATGGTTCCTGATTCAGGTCACGCATCCTGATCTGCTTGTGTATGGGCAGCTTCAGGTAGTCTGTAATATGTGATAAGGGAAGAATGCTTAGGCAGCACTCCATTGTTACAGCTAGAGCAGAGGAGGCACAATGAGAAGTTCTGTAGTCAGAGTTTTTCCAAAAAGCAGGACTTATTAAATGCAGTTAAACACAACTGCAGTGTAATATATGTGGCTAAAAAAACTATTGTGTCTGGCTTACAGTCCCACAGTTTTATAAGTTGTCTCCTGATAAACCGCTATAAATGTGTTTAAAGAAAATGACTTTATTATAGAGCTTCACATACAACCTCGATCCTAAAAATAGTGCACTGGAGGTCCTGGCTTCTAGGGATCCTAGCAGCAGAAGAATGATAGATGTGACTTTATCTGACAGCTCAGGGAGTTCTGTAATTTGTGAGTTTACTGATGTGCTGCCCCATCCTGTTGAGGTTTCTTGGTGAGATGGATCTATGGAGTCCCCTTAATTCTAATAATTTCCCTACACAATTACACTGTCCATATAAATTCATTCAGACTTCTCTGATATCTTGCTTGTCTGATATCCTGCATTACCACATAGGCATTAACATGCATTGCATTAAGGCAGCTCACTAATTCTGAATGGCCTGACAATGCATATGAAAGCCTATCTCCAGTTTAAAAAAAAAATCTATCTTTGCAAAGAGGCTTTGTAAGGCACTTTTATTTACCTGATTCCCGCCTCCCACTGGCTCCAAAACTGTCACCTGTAGCCTCATTCCTCTTCCACCATGGCAGTCAGAGGGCCACTGACATCACATCTGCAGGATTTATAGCTCTACATTATAAATATGAGGGTGCAAAGGGACTGTGCTGTTACACAGTTATATAAATATGACACATTCATAGTCATGGTTAATATTCATACAAATTTGAAATGAGAAGTTATATAGTTTTTTTCCTCAAAGGAGAATTATGGGGTTAAGGCTTTTCCCCATAGTTCTCCTTAGGGTAACGGGAGGACACAAACTAGCGTCCTCCCGTCACCCTAGGCTCAGTATACCGCGAGCTGTAGCTCGCGGACTCATTGGTATTGTATAGCTGATCCCTATACTGCCATCTTGTGGGCGTTTTGGGTTATTGCACCATGTTTTTCTGCATTCTCTCCCCTTGTGTGTAATGCATGCCCTTCTTCTCCAGTAGTCGTTTTAGTGTCATGGCTACTTGTAACAGGACCACATGCACATGCTAGCCTGGAAACATTATCACCCTTAACCTTCAAATGCCATCTATTCATTCATCTGCTGTATCCTGTTGTCTTCTGAACTCCCCAAATACCCAAAAGGTATTTGGGGTGTTCAGCTATCTGATAAGGATTGTCCTCAGTGATTATATCTGCTTATACAGGACAGGCATAGAGGTCTCAGCAAGGGATAAATCGCTAATACAACAATCGGAGTCAGAATGGGGACAGTCCATGAGTCGGAGTAGAAGGGAGAGAGGTGAACACCGACTGCCAGGGGATCGGGGATCAGGTAAGTAAAAGTCTTTCATACCATACCCCTAGATAAAAATTAGCAGGTAACCCTTTCAGTGCAGGGACAGCCACACTGCAAGGGTAGATGGTTTTTCACCCACAGATGGGCTTCAACAGACATGCAGTGCAACATAGTTGTGCGGTGTGATAACATGCAAGTACATTGTGCTATGCCACCTAGTTGTGTTGGGGCTCCATTCAAATGAAAAGCAACCCAAATCTCTCTCACTCATAAATTACCCCTAAACCAGAACCCCACCTAAAAATAACAAGATAGAAATGAATAGCTCATTAGTAGATCAAATAAAAGAAGACGCCTTTGTTGCCATATTCACGTTCAATCCAGCACTCCCCCCATGTAGTACTTTTCTGCCACAAGATGCCCTCAGCCCAAACAGTGGGAGCGCAGTTCATGCGCTCCCTCTGAGCGCACAAACTGATTGACTGCCTGCACTGCAAGGATTAATTGCTCGTTTTTGCCTAGGGTAAAAAAAATGTTTAACTCACCCGATCCTCCAAGCCGACAGC